TAAATGGGGGATTCCAACTTAAATGTACAACCTACCCCCAGATAATAAAAAGTAGTGTTTAATCATGTTTAATTAAAATAAAGCATTTAATTAAGTTACTCCTTTCAACATAACGAGGCCATTCTATAAGGGGGGTCATAATGTCTTATTGTGCCTTTTTTAAATCACTCGGTGCTTAAGCTAATTTGTATACGTATTAAATATTTATATTTACTTTTTTATTTTTAAAATAAATCATTAAATTAGGGTAGCATTGTTGGAAACTTAGTTGATATAATTTGAAATTTTTAATATATACTATTTTTTATTTATTTTAAATATGTTGCTGATATTAGTTCACACTTTTAAGTTCTAATAAATATGCATTAGATCGTATTTTGGATTTATTTTTTTTTAACGGTTAATTTTTAAGTACTTTATCAGTACACTTACTTTCTATTCGTAAAAAATTTGAATAAAGATAATATTTTAATTTTTTATTAATTTATGTGTACTTTAAATTATATTATGTAATCTAATTAAGAATTAAAAATTTAAAAATACAAAATAATTAAATATGTAAACGTAAATTATCTAATTATGCATCATATATATGTATGTTATTTAATTTAATTTTTTTTCCTGAAATGATTTCTTTGTAGATTCAGATAAAACCAACAACCATCCTATAATAGCAAAAATAAAATGAAAGGGGACTGTTTCTAAAAGAGTCAAATTAGGGACCAATAGAGTCTTCCTAACTAAGACGTTGACCACCTGTATGCAAGATCTAAGAACCCAACTAATAATAAAACTATAAAATTGATGTGGAACCAAAGATCAACCAATGTGATCAAGAACTCACACAATTTTATTCAAGGCACCAAAAAAATTTGATCATATGAAAACCCTCCCTACTTAACTCTCTATCAAGAATGATAGAAATTAGCATTATTGAGAAAAGGAGAATTAAAATAAGAATGAAAAAATACCACAAGAAATTATCTTGATAAATAGATATATTCATTGCTCAACAAGAAGGATGAAGACACATCTCTTGAATAAGACTCGCAATATTATTACTTTTTAATCTTGGATGCTTGCAATGAAGACTTGATGACCTATTTATAGGGTAACCCATGTGAATAAAATAGTAATAAAAATCTCTTAATTAAAATTATAATTACATAGGAAATTAATTAAAAATAAAGTTTAAATTCCTAAATAGGTGTAATTACATAAGAAATTAATTAAAATTAAAGTCTAAATTCTTAATTATGATAGATATGATCTTTCCAATTTTCTTGACCAGTTGTTTTCTTTTCTTACCCATTTTCATCATGTGCTTAAAGGCAATTGATAAGATCATTATGCCCTTAGATTAATTGGTTGGGTAATTTATTTCGTTGGACTTCTTTAGTGGATCCAAACCCATCTTCCTCATTAATCCAAGCTTGGATAAAGAATTGGAAAGCTTGTCGTAATCCTTGGGTCTGCCTCCTTATTATGGGCCCACTTGGCATAATGATGTCTTTTCCATGTGACCCAAAATGATCCATGCTCGCATCATCTCCCTCCTTTTCAAGATGATTCGTCCTCGAATCTGGACCTACATCAAAAAAGGAAAGGTCAGCAATATTAGAGGTTGTGGAAATGCGATACATACCTGAGAGGTCTATCTTGTAAGTGTTGTCGTTGATAGGCTTCAAGATTTGGAACGGGCCGGCTCTTCTAGGGTCCAGTTTTGACTTCCTTTATTTAGAAAATCTTTCTTTCCTCATAAAGACCCATACCTAATCTCCAAGTTGAAATGTGACTTGTTTTCTCCCTTTATTGGCTCTACAGGCATATGATTCGTTCT